CGGCTGAAGTGATGAGTCTCAAACAGGAGATTAGAGGGCTCAAGCATGAGAATAAACAGTTGCACCGGCTCGCACATGACTATGCTACAAACATGAAGAGGAAGCTTGACCAGATGAAGGAAACTGATGGTCAAGTTTTACTTGATCATCAGAGATTTGTGGGTTTGTTCCAAAGGCATTTATTGCCTTCGTCTTCTGGGGCTGTACCGCGTAATGAAGCTCCAAATGATCAACCTCTGATGCCTCCTCCTTCTAGGGTTCTGTCCAGTACTGAGGCTCCAAATGATCCCCCTCCGGTGCCTTCTCTTTCTGGGGCTCTACCGACTGCTGAGACTTCTCCTAAGCAACCTTTGTGAAGGCTCCCTCTTGTGTGTTTATTTTGACTCATGTATATGTACATATTTGTAGCTTATCGGGGATATCAATAAATAAGCTTTCCTTCATTTCAACGTATTGTGTTAAATACACCAAAGCCTTCTTCGCTAAGTTCTTTGAATTTTCTTTTGTTGAAGCTTGTATGTTGAAGCTTTCTGAGTGGAGCATGTAGGTTGGGGTAGTGTTCCCTTAATTTTCCGAGTGAGGAAAACTTCTCGGTTGGAGACTTGGAAAATCCAAGTCACTGAGTGGGATCGGCTATATGGATCTTAGAACGCCATTGTGCTCGATCCTGTGTCATGTCCTTCGTTAGATCCAAGTACTCTAAGTCTTTTCTTAGAGTCTCTTCCAAAGTTTTCCTAAGTCTTCCTCTACCCCTTCGGCCCTGAACCTCTGTCCCATAGTCGCATCTTCTAATCGGAGCGTCAGTAGGCCTTCTTTGCACATGTCCAAACCACCGTAACCGATTTTCTCTCATCTTTCCTTCAATTTCGGCTACTCCTACTTTACCCCGGATATCCTCATTCCTAATCTTATCCTTTCTCGTGTGCCCACACATCCAACGAAGCATCCTCATCTTCGCTACACCCATTTTGTGTACGTGTTGATGTTTCACCGCCCAACATTCTGTGCCATACAGCATCGCCGGCCTTATTGCCGTCCTATAAAATTTTCCCTTGAGCTGAAAAGAAAAAAAGGAAAGGAAGAAAGTAAAATGGAAAAAAAAAAAAAGAGAAAGCTTGTTAGTGAAGGTTTTGGATAATTTAGGATTTTTTTGTTGTTGGATAATTTAGTTTAAGTTTAGAGTATTAGGTTGTGCATTCTCATCATTTATGCCACAACTATAACTATAAAAGAAGTGTCATTGAGTGCTATGATCTAATAATATTTTTCTTCACTTGTAAGTGAGAGGTCTAGGTTCGATTTTCGTCAAAAGAAAATTTGAACTACATTATTGCTAGTCAATTGTGAGGCTAAACCTATTCATTTTCTTTCAGTGTAGATAATATCGTTTATTAATAAAAAAAAACTATAAAAAAAGACAAGGCTCCACCAAATAAAACAACAGCCTGGAACCATTATTTCTTTAAGCCCCACTCCTTATTGCAGGGACCACCCTTTTTATTCAATATTCGGGACCATATTTTACTTTTTTTATTTTGGTAGTAAATGGTGACCAATATTAATTAACAATTCAAAACCAATTATGCTGATTAACTTATGTTTTTGTAACCGACCTCCCTCTTCTCCGACTACAATTTATGCTGACTAGCTTAACATATCCACTTGGTAGATAGAGCACCTACAATTCTATGAATATCAACTTGACATACTATTTAAAATAAAAACACTTCAAATTGACTCCACGCTAGGTGAATCAAATACACTCAAGTTGGACGGTGCATTATATTTTTTAAACAAATTTGAATTCTTTTGAATTGATAATAGTTCAGTATCAAACACGCTATATTTTGAGTCCGAGTCTAACCAATAGAAGGAAAGTACCGTCAAGGACAAACATGTACGTGTCATAAACCTACCACACATCTTTCTTTTCGTAGGGTTTAGAACAATTATGCATCCCCTAATATATGCTATTAATGGAACCCACAAAAATGATCAATCATTCTCACAAATTGACATTTTATTTATTTATTTATTCATTTATTATAAGTGATATCAATATTCTAAGCTCGAGTAGGAGGAGGGAGACCAATGGTGGATGCATGATTCTGCCTCTTAGGGTTTTAGTGTAAAAGATCCAAACGTGTGCAGCGCGCAAACTTTTTTAGTATTTTTCGTAGGCATTTAGTCAAGCACTTAGCAGACTTTCATTATCTGCCTAGATATATCGACAACTCCTAAGGCCTGATGATGTGGTTTGTCGAGCAAAACGTGCTAAAGCGTTTTGCCAAGGCTTGCCAAATTTTTTCAAAGATGCATTTCATCGAAAATGTAATATTCATCAAGACAATCCACAAATTATCGGTAGAATTGTAATAACAATCACAAGAGCTACTGGCCAAAAGAAAAAATCCAAACTAATTTGAAGGCGACGCTTTACCGTTCCAAATAATGTTTGTCACATACTATTTATTGTCGAGGACACCTCATTCTACTGCATCCCTGATCTATTATTTAAAAAGTAACAACAACAAATATAATATAAAAAACTGCTAATAGGAGGAACAGTTAGAATATACGGCACTCAAATGCATAAGATATATTCCGCCATTGGATGTTTACACACACACATATATTATATATACAGGCCTTTTTATGCAAAGAGATCTTTATTTAAAAAAAAATGAGGATTAGGTACATGGCTCACGAATTTTAACGATTTGAACCGTTTATTTTGTAAGTCTCGATTCATAAATTATCTTTGCAAAAATTCAATTCAATCCGAATCCATTTGCCTATTTAACTATCGAGATAAAATTTCATTGTTTCTTATATAACAAAGTATTCGTTAATTTCTTTGAACTCAATTAGATGTCTTAAACATTTCTGATTTGGCTAATATTTTGCAAGAATGATCTATAAGATGCAACTTGAAACACAGGCAGTTCAGATCGTTAAAATTCGATGGGATGTGGATCCTACAACTAATCTCCATTTAAAAAAAAAATGGAGATCCCTCCCCTTAAAGGTTTCCTACACACACACAATATTATATATTATATGATTTTGTCGCACAAGACTTCATGCTTTAATATGGGGTCTACTGTCTTTCATATGGAGTAGGATTATCTCCCCTCATATTCTCATCATCTTCTCTCTTCTCCTCTCACATATTGTTTTTTATCTTATTATCTCTATAAAAAAATAATATAAAATGTTGACGTGGCTAAACCGTAACTGTTTAAATAGGAAGGGAATAAAGATGAGAGAGATTAGGAGGGGAGAGAATTCTTCCCCCTTCCATATAGGTAACCCTTAAAGTATCTTGTTATAAAGCATTTTATCTTCACATAATCGCAAATAAAGGAAAATAAAAGGCTTACAATTGTCTAAGATAAGTAGTTAGCGGTGGATTGTCTTTGTATTCAATTCGCTACATCCGAGTTTAAACAATTTCATCTCTCTTTTTTTTTTTTTTTTTTTTTTTTTTTTGTAGATGAGAATAATGATAATAATAAAAAGATGAGTGTGATAAGATATAATATTTATGCATTCAATTGAATTATTGATTTGAACTCTGCAATGTAATTTGAATGGGTGTTGGAAAAACACATGCACAATAATGTCAAAGAACATGATCTCACAGAGAAAACCTGATAGATTATACTACTATTTTATAAAATGAGTAGTTTTACTACGAATAACACTAAAGTTTTTGATGATAAAACTCAACGTCTCTCAGACTATGCAGATGATTAAAATGAGACAATATCGTTAATAATATATTATTGACCCAAATCAGTGAGTCACTTGAACATATCCACCAAGGCAATCCACTTTGGATAACTCTCATGCACAAAATTTGTTTTCTGGATTATCCGACCGTTTTCTTTTCAAGACTGGTTTTCAAATTACAAAGCATAAAAAGTGAGTGAATTCTAGTATACTCCGAAGTTGACTTTACACTGGATAAAATGAACGGTTAGATAATGGTGGAAAGTATCCAACGGTGTGGAATTAGCAACCAGTTTAACTTGGTAACCACCAGAGCCTTTGTCCGACAAACTAGTTTGGATAATTAATAAAAATAATACTCGCATTCTTCTTATATTTTACTATTTGCAAATAATGAATTTTTGTTATATAAATTTTATAATCCGAATTATTTAATTTCTTAAGTTTCATTTGAAGATCATTCATATAAAAAAAAATTCATTCAAATCAAAGATTAATGTTTAATCATTCAAATGTACCAAATAACTATACAATTTATTATGAATGTGTTGCTGATCCCTTGTACTGTCAAATTGTTCTATACATATAAATGCATTATATTTGATCTGAATGTTTTATATATATATATATATATATATATATATATAGGAAGGAACGACTTAAAATGGCGCTTAGAAAGTTTATATTACGAAGATACATTATTAACAAATCGTGGAATATATACATTTGCTCGTGCAAGAATTATTAATGAAATAATAGTTTAATAGTTACGGCATTTACAGATTATGCCAATGTTACAATAAATCTAAAGAAAAACTAATAAAAAAGGTTTGAAAACTTTGAGTTTTAACGATAAGTAGAAAATAAAAGGTAAAATAAATAGTATCATAATTGACTTTTTAGTTTAAAAATGTGATTTTCTTTTTTTAAATAAAGAGTACTAAGAGCTTTTCGTTAAAGTTTTTTAAATCTAATCTATTTGTCCGGGGATGGGTCCTACAAGATAAACGCATTTAAGTATATGATGTCCCTGTAACTGTACGCACCTGATTCTCACCCCCACCACCCAACACATTACTACAAGTTTCCAGCTGGGGTCCACCCAACCAAAACCCGATGTGCAGCAACGGTCGACTCTCGACTACGAACATCCAGCTGTATCACACCGGGCGCACGTTTACGTCCTTTTCTCTAATTTACGCCTCTCTTCCGTACAACACACACTCGAGTAATTCACAAAAGTAAAAAAACTTTAAAAATTTACGTTATTCCTCTATTCGAAATTTTTCTATAAATTAATTAAGCGACTCAAGGGCTTATGTAATATTTTTACACCAAAATAATTAAAAAACAAATAAAAAAAAAGAAAAAGAAAAGAAAAAGAAAGCCTCTGTTCTGCAAGACGCACGTGCGAACAGATGCTGACGGTGACGCGCGTGCGAGTTCATCCGAGGTAACCACGACGAAGAGCTAGCTAGTAGAGCACAGTAGTGGCGTGGGGATTACAGCAGAGAAGAGTACCAGGGAATGCGGATTAAAAATCGGCGATTTTTCGGTGAGAGCGAGATCTGGGGACGAGGTTTTGGGTTTGAGTGTCCTGCAAATTCCTCAGGCTGCGGATCGCCAAAACATCGCTCTTCCGGATGTCAATAAATCGCCCGATGCCGTCGATTTCGCTGTCGGCAGAAACTACAAAACAAAAAACAAAAAAAAAGCAAAAAAAAACAAAAGTAAGAACTGAAAAACCGACGGTCAGGATTTAGAGATTGAGAATAATTTCATCCGCATTGCGTACCAACGCGCTTCGCCGATCCAGGCAGTTTAGTGAAGCCATTGAACTGAGCCAAATCTGAAACGGAACAAAAGGGAAGGTCAGGATTGGATTCAAATGAGGAAGAGATGAGCGAAGAGCCGTTGATTAAATAAAAGTGTACCTGATTGGGAGGGAACGTGGGAGAAGAGGAAGAGGATGAGGAAGCAGAGGAGGGTGAGGACGGGGATGACGTGGATGGATTTGTGCGGTGCAATGGACGGCGGTGATGACAGACGGTGAGGCTTCGATGCTTTATGGTCCTCGTCGTCTTCATAGGCTGCAGAGATTGAAGAGGAGGAGGAGGAGGAGGCGGTGGTGGAAAAGGCTAAAAGATCCTTAATGCGGTTGGGGGAGTCATCGACGGTGAGAGTCTGGTCCTTGGGTCCGCCGTGGGCCTGGTGGAGCTTCGACGGCGAGCCGCCCAGTGACTGTCTTTGCATGGTCACAGACTCACAGACAGGGAGAAACACAGAGAGAGAAGAGAAAGCGAAAGATAAAGAAATTATTAGTGAGCTGTTGTGTCTCCAGTACTCTAATGTGGCATTTTTAAATAAGAACTTTCTTTTTCTTTTTGTTTCGATTCGTCGCTTTTTAAAAAACAAAATAAAAAGAGAATTATGGATAAAATTTTGTTCTATATAAGTATGTATCTCAAATTCGTTTTTGGCAAAAATTAAATATAAAATTTTTCATTTATAAGTAAAGAAGAATACCACTACATCGTAATACTAACTGATAGCTTCACATTTTAAAATACTTATTATATGTATGAGGTAAGTAAATTTTTCCTAAGAATAAGAGACATATAATTCTCACCCTAATTTTATAATTTTGTTTAATTTTTGTACTCTTTTGAATTTTTTTGCTAACAATTTAGAAATAGTTTTTGTATAATTTATCTTTTTTTTTAACAAACTTTTTAAGTGGAAAAAAAAAAATCAAATTTCAAAAAAGAAGTTGTTGAGATATTTTTTAGTTGGATACCATTATATATCATAATTATTTCTGACATATGAGAACTATATGTTTAGATGTCCTACATGCTTTTTGATGTTTGTTGGAACTGATTTGGATGAACTAATAATATTATTTTGAACTTTTGATTCAAGTTTAAGTTGTTGGGTCATTTTCATTATCTTTAAAATTGATCAAATTAGATTTGAACCGTTGAATTTAAAAAGTAACCGTTGATTTTTTTTTTCTTTCAAAAAAGACTATTAGATAACTACTGTCAATAAATCTGGACCGCACAACATAGTACTAGGAAAAATGAATGTAGTTGGGCGCGCCTCCCTCGATCATAAGCTAGAAGGTGTGATAGCCGATGGATCATCGATGGTAACAACGTCCGCATCTCAGTCGTAGAAACTTGGCTTATTGTCAGCTCAGCCGCAACGAATATCTCTCTCCACTCGTCTGACGTAAAGGCCCGCCACTCCCCCCACTTCACATGTTGCTGCTACAGCTTGGCTTATTTGCATTCTCCCCCCAAACTCAAATTCATATCTTTCCCACCTTTAAAATACAGCGCTTGCAAATGATTTGGACCCAAAATTTTGGGGCCCCCCCGGGCAGTTTGGAGACAGCCTTAAGAGCAACTCCATCGTGTGGAGTAGCCCCAGCGACAGGCCCCAAAACAAAGGATAGTAGCCTGGCCTACTTGCTCCAGCTTGTGCTAGCCCGAGAGAGAGGCCTGACATGAATTGCCAGCCTGAGAGCCCGAAGGCTTTCTGACGCACAGCTGACGTCCGCCAAACGTCAGCTTCTTTTATTTATTTATTTTTCTGTCAGGCGCGTGTGCCTCAAATGCGCATAGGATCGCGTTGGCAGACAAGATTGCAGGAACTGGGGCTCACGGCGCAGTGAAAAAGTGTTACCGTTGGGAAGCCACGTGGCTTCCCCTAGTTCGTTGGATTTCAATTGTAACAAATTTCGGGCCATTGGATTTCCAACGGTAAAAAAAATTCAAAAACCTTATTTAATTTTAGCCATTGGATATGAGATCAACGATCCACATTATTCGACGTTATAAATTAAAAAAAAAAAGAAAAAACATTTTAAAATTATGATATGTTACCGTTGTGCCACATGGCACAATCTGGAGTGCTAAAATTCAAAAAAAATTTAAATCCAACGGTAGAGATTAATTAGGTGAATAAAAATTAAAAAAAATGTAAAAAATTAATAAAAATCCGGAAATTTTGTTTTTGAAAAAAAAAAAGATTTTACTTTTCTATAAATACCTTCTCATTATCTTCTACCCTACACCGTAATTTCATATTTTCTCAACTACTTTCAACCACATTCCTATCTTTCTCTCAAAGTTTCAATCCAATTTTTTCCAACAAAATGACTACTGATGCAGGTACGAATTGGACGCTTCTTGAAAATGTTGCGTTGTGTAGTAGCTGGGTTGAAGTTACTCATAATTCGCTTACGGGTAAAGAGATGTAGTTGCGAGAAATGTGGAGTCTTATTCATACCAATTATCTTGAGTAAATGGGTGGGAAAAGATGTCTAGTTGTTGGAAAATACTTAGCCAATTGTTTAGTATGTGGAGAGACGCCTTGGCACTTGGCACAAGCTAGTGGTAATATTTGAAGAAGTGGGGAAAATTTAGCGGATTAGGTAACAATATATTATTTATTTGTTACCTACTTTGATTATATTTATTTGTTACCTACTTTCATTATAATTATTTGTTTGTATTATTTATTTGTTACCTACATTCATTTAATTATTTGTTTGTATTATTTATTTGTTAGCTACTTTCATTATAATTATTTCTTCTCCTGCATTGTGTAGGAACTTCAAGCACAAGTTTGGTATAATGCCAAAAGCAAAAGCAAAAACAAATCATTCACCCTGTGAGAATGTTGGAATATTGTCAAAGATTGTCCTAAATTCAGAGTTGTGCATGTCGGTCCAGAAGTTTTCATGAACAGCACCCCTCTACACTCTACACCCGATCATGCCTCGCATGTTGATGAAGATGACGTAGAAGAAGCGCCCGAAACCCCCTTGAACAAGCTTTGGGGTCGACCCGTTATCCAATTAGGCTTCAAGGTAAGAAGGCTTCAAAGAAAAAAGGGAGTGCTTCCAAGAATGATTATGCAAAGTATATGGAAGAACCTGCTCGCCAAGGTGAAATGACTTTGGCGCGGGAAATGGCGAAATTTGAGGCTGATAAGGCTAGAAATGAGGCAAAAACTGCAACTGTTGAGAGAACATTTCAAGCTAATGCGAGGGAAATAGAGTTACTTAGGCAAGAAAGGGAACAAGTTAGAGAAGAAAGAATGACTCAACGAGATCGTGAAATTATGAACACGCCTTTAGAAGGGAAGTCTTCAAATTCTAAATATTTTTGGAAGTCAGAGAAAGCGGAAGTGGTGCGAAAGAGACGTGCAAGAGAAGCGAGAGCAAGAGAAGATGGTTCTAGCACGACAAGAAAAGATCATCCTAGCACCACAAATTGGTTAAGTGATGATGAATAGAGTAGTTTTTGTAATTGGAGCCCATAATTTTCCAATCATTTTAGGTTGTAATTTATTATTTATTGAATAGAGTATTTTATGTTGTTTCCAATTTATTGAATTTAGTACTTTATTTAAAGTGATGATGAATAGAGTACTTTTTGGTAATTTATTGCAAATGACATAAACACACCAAATAAAATTACATAAACATACCAAATAATAAAAAACTCACTAAATGAACTGAAAAAAAAACACCAAGTAAAAACAAACACACTAAATGAACTTAAGTATCTTAAGCTTGTTTCAATTCCCACTGGTGCTCTATCAAATCAATTTGTTAGGCATTGTGCATATATGGCATTTGAAGTGTAGTATATCGTTGAACGATTAATTCATTGTAATGTCCATCCCTTTCTAATGGCTCATGTTGCACGGGTTCTTTGGTGGCGTCATGAGCACAATATATACGTGTTCTTGAATTGTTCATTGTGTCTAACTCATATTCATCAACAACATCATAATCGTACTCATCTTCCACAATTATGTTGTGAAGAATGATACACGCCATCATGATGGATCTAAGCAACTCTACATCAAACATTCTCGCAGCACCCCTAACAATCGCACAACGAGCTTGGGGGATACCAAAACAATGATCCATATCTTTCCTGCACCCTTCTTAACAGCTGCAAAGTGTTTTTCCTTTGCACTTTGTGGATGTGGCACTATTTTGACAAATGATGATCACCTTGGGTAAATGTTGTCTGCTAGGTAGTATGGCCCGTTGTACATGTCCATTAATGCAGTACGTGACTTTTGGTGCCTTTCCTTGTAGGACATTGTTGAACATTGGGGATTGGGAACAGACATTTAGGTCATTTTGAGCTCCCGAAACTCCAAAAAAAGCGTGCCAAATCCATGTATCAAAAGATTCCACCGCCTCCAAAATGATACTTTTTGCTCATTTTCTGTCCCCATAAGCGCCTTGCCATGCATTTGAATAGTTTTTCCACATCCAGTGCATACAATCGATGCTTCTAATCATCCCAGGAAAACCTCGCATCTCGTCCTTCTTCAAAAGTCTTTGCAAGTCCATGTCATTAGGTTTTCGGAGGTACTCTACGGTGTAGATAGATTCGATTACTCCGCAAAACTTCATGAGGGACTCAAGAATGGTTGATTTCCCCATCCTCGCTATCTCATCCACTTGGTCTACAGATGCTCTATACGCAAGCATCCGCATCGTAACAGTATTTTTTTGCTCAAGAAAGAGACTCATAATACCAAAAGCATCATTTTTTTGCACAAACTAAGAATCATGGTTGCAAACAGCAATCATGATTTTGTTGAACAAATGTCGTTCTATTCTAAAACGACGTTTGAATTACGTATCAGGGAATGCACTGTTACAGACAAAATAATTGTCCAAGAGGTCCACACCTCGTCGTTGCTTGTTTCTATCAAGGTTTCCGAAATGGCTGGGCCTGGAGATTTAAGCCACAACTTGGATGACTCGATGGGAATGTGAGGCTCTAGCCATTCTTACTTCGTCATCTCTCATTCTACGATCTTCATCATATTTCATCTCATTTTGGGCCACCTAGAGATTGAACATTCATTTTGATTGGTTAAACAATTATTCATCTTGCTGATCAATTTCCCACATCATCCTTGAAGAAGAAGACATTGTAAGAAGGAAGCAGAAATTATGAATAATGATACATATTTTGATTTTGGTGAAGAAGGAAACAGAAACTATGAATAATGATAGGGATCTTAAGAAAATTGATGTGAGATTTCAGAGGATGGATGATGGATTATATGGAGGATTCATAAAGGATTAGGTTGTAAATAGTGTCACGTGGCATGCCGTCATTCGTTAAAAATTTGATCGAAATATATCTTCAAAGATTCTGAAAAGGTAATAACACGTGACATGACGACATTGGATAAAATTTTTATCGAAATCCATCACCAATAATTATCTTTTCGAATAATGACACGTGGCGCAACGATAACGATTTAAAATCTGATCGAAATCTATCCTCAAAGATTCTGAAAAGGTAACAACACGTGACACGACGACATTAGATAAAAATCTTATTGAAATCCATCACCAATAATTGTCTTTTCTGATAATGACACGTGGCGCAACGATAACTATTAAAAATCTTATCCGAAATTACAAATAAAATTATTTTGTATTATTTTTATAAAAAAAACTAATATTTTATTGCCTATTGCCAGGGCTATTCAAGTGCAACGGTGGAGATGCAAAAGGTAATTACTGTTCATTAAGGGCAGTTATTGTTTACTGGTTGGATTAAATAGTGAATAGCTTGGGGGGAGGGGTTTCCCATGGTGGAGTTGCTCTAAAGCATTGTGTTTCATCATTTTTACTTGAGTTCGAATATATCGCTTATCATTTGTCAAAATAAGGGGGGCGTAGTTAAATTAGGATTTGACATGATTTTAATGGACTTTAAAATCAGAGCGTAGTCAATTAGGATTTTAGAAAAGGATTTTAAAAGACTTTGAAATTATGGTGTCGTCAAATTAGGATTTAAGAGGATTTTAAAAATACATCCAAATCCTGAGGTTTCAAGTGAGATTTTAAAAGACATTTTTAGAATGCTTCTAAATCTATGGGTATTCAAAAAATAAAGATTTGGTAGTATTTCATGGAGGAGTGGATTTCGTTGGATTTGAGAGCTTGAAGTATATATACCCAACACCAAATACAATCCCACCTCAACCCCTAGCATTGCTTTCAAGCTAATGTTCCATTCTCTCTCTTTGGCCCTCACTTCTCAGCCATAAGCAGCAGGAGAACTACTTCTCTGGTCCATATACTGGTGAATCCACACTCACTCGCACACCTTTGACCCTTTCCACTATTGTTCTTTATATTTTTATGCCTCAATTTGATAAAGGGTCGGTTAAACTCATTGAATCTGCCATGGAAGTGGTGGGTTTGTCAATAAAGTTGCAGATTTACTTGAGCTACGAAAATATACCATTTCAAATCAAACCCAGAAGTTTTTTATTACCAATCCGACCAAAATTCAAAACCCACCATCTATAATGTAGGAACATATCAACCCATTGGTAAAAAAATCAAAGCCAAAGATGAAGAATTTGATTTGCACCTGAAAATCCAATTGAATCACTCGTCCATGCTCCGAATTGAATTTGAATAAAAAACAATCATTCTCTAGGGAGACAGAAAATGGATAAGACAATTAAAAAGCATGAATTGCATTGATAGGCCGGCTTGAAAAGGAAGCAGCTGCACAATCATGTTTTAGGGCACAAAGGGATAATTTCTTTTGTTATTTGAAAAAAATAAAACCAATCTAATAAAGATAAATGAAAAGAAAAGATTATGCAAATCCATCAAAATCTACAAATAAGATCCATACAAATCCACAAAAATCTAAAATATAAATCCATATAAATTTGTCAAAATCCGTATAGAATTGTAAGTACATTAAAATCCTTTGAAATATATCACTTAAAAAAAGTCTATTAAAATACTCTAAAATCCAAATTGACTACACCCCTTAAATTACAGAGTCTAATAACTGAGTAAAGTTATTGGGTCCAAAAGGCTTAACAGAACCTAAACAAGCACATCTCTCCTTGATTTGGAGATTCAGAAGTTTGATTATATTCAAACTCGGTGATTCTATTGAATACAACCACACATCAGGCCTTGAATATCATGGGCAATGAACCGCGAGCTAGCGGCCTAGTGGTAAATGATGGATTGCGAGGCTTTCTTCAAACTAAAAACTGGAAGTCTCGGGTTAGAAACCCGTTGCTGGTGTGGAAGCCATACTTGTGGCCAGGGAGAGGCTGAAATGCCTCTGTGAGTCTTCCCGGTCGCCGAAATAGGTGGATAACCGTGGCTTGCCACCAGTTGTCCGCATTTTGAAGAAAAAAGAAAAAAAAATATCATGGGAAATGATTGGATGATTGGAAATGTTTAGTCAATTTAATCTAGTAACTACCATTAAAGTTAAATTTCATGCATGTGTTTGTCAAATGATCTTCAAATAAACAAAATTATTCCTTCATCTCAACCCTAATGGGCTGAGCAGACCAGCCCGCTGAAGATGCTAAAGTCCACAACTATCAGGCCCAAGCCCTAAATAATTTGCCAAGCTCTCTAACGGAAATTTGCATCCACAATATAGGCACATCAACGCACTAGGTTAGTGATCTTGAAAAGTATTCACTTTTTTTAGAAAATGGTTTAAAGGCTTGCGTTGTCATACCTATCATAGGATGGTAGATTATGTGTTATTTGAGAAAAAAAAAAAGCAAGAACCAAACCGACTTGAACTGGTTAGGTTCGATTTCTAGTCCTTGCTTGAGAAGTTTGTTTGGGTGAACCAAATTCTTTTCACTTGATTTTTCGGTTTGCCGGTTTTTTCCCCACCCGTACATGCAGTTTTACTCTCAAATTGACTATAACATGGGTGGCTAAGACCCTCATTGGGGGTCAATAGAATCACTCCCTCAAGAAATAAGAAGTTGGAAGGCTGAATGTGGGCCTGAAATTTTAATCACTCATTTGGGGCTTTCAGTATAAAAAAAGCCCATCAACCGAACAGAACCGATTCGATGTAACGAACGGTTGAGATCAAATGAGATATTGAGCATCCCCACGTACGCAATGACGCGAAGCAGAGGGAAAACTTGCGAGAAACGAAAACCTACAAATAAAACCAGAGAAAAACTCAGAAACAGCGACAAAAAATCGATCAAACGTTCAAAAGAATGGTGCTTTGGGAGATCACATTAGGCACCGCCTATTTCTTGGGGCTCCGCCGCACTTACAGACTCGCCCTCAAGATTCAGCGCCGCCTCATCGGCCCTAACCACCCTAAGATCCGTGAATTTGCTCACAGGTATTTCTATTTCTTTTTCTCTTTTTTTTTTTTAGGATTTTATTTGAAATATTTTGATTTCTCTAGAGTTTGATGCGTGAATTAATCAAACCATTAGAACTGATAAAAAAAAAAAACATGTATTCCATGTAATTTGTGTATTATTTTCTTGAAAATTTGATTTAAAAAAGTTGTATGTGATTTCGTTAGTTTCTCACCGAAATGTAGGCAGATTTGTGTTTGTTTTAAGCTTTGGAATTGTTTTGATTGTGTTATATGATTTTGGAATGTGTCGAAGATCTTATTATGTCATGAAATTAGCTGTGAATGTGCAGTGATTTATCTCTCATTTGTTTCGTTGTTGAATGTTCCATTGCTGTTGGGAAGTTGGTGAAGCATTGCCTAGATTACGCCGAATTAGTTTATAAAACGAATAATAGGATATGGGGGCATTCCGCCATCCACATTAGTTTCGTTGCATTGAACACTTTAAGGTTGCTAACATCTTTGATGCTCCGGTTAGAAAATGCAATTATTAGATAGAGACTTAGGGCAAAAGGGATAGAGGAAGGTCTAGGAAGACTTGGAAAAAGACTTTAAGAAAAGACATGGAGTACTTGGAGCTAAAGGGAGACTTGGCTCAAAACCGAGCGCAGTGGCGTTCTAAGATTCATAGAGCCGGCCATACCTTAGTGGGATAAGCCTTTGTTGTTTAAACTTCATGTAGTTCGGCCTTGCGGGATAGATCAGCATTTTTCGACCCAAAAAACAAAAAGATTTGATAAGCGTTTGGTATCCTGGACGGTTAATTTGAATATTTAGCACGAATACACTGCTCACCAGTAGATATACAGCATTAGAGCCTTGATTAATGAGATGTTTAATTAGCTGTAGGATTTGAGGGCATTGGTCAGTGATGTTTATTTGTTGCTACCGTCCCGTCTCTTTTCTCGCTCACTATGATATTGCAATAGTTGTCGGTTAAACAATTACTGTTTATCATTTTTGCTATTAGTTTATAACAGATGCAGCCATTGTGTTTTTCTTTCATTCAAAGGCGAACACGTGCTGTGTTTGATGTAGTTGTCAAGGTTCACAAGAACGTTCAGCAACGAGACATAGAAGTTGGTAGAAATCTTGGTAACCGGATCCTGCGCTGGCTCGATCGGATGAAACCTGAAGCTGAGATTCGGCGTCCCCTGGACAAACCTCCCACTGGTTCTAAGTCTAGCATGAGTATTACAAAGCAGGTAAACTCCTCCCAGCTCAAAACTCCTGGAAGCACTCAGATAACCAGAAATCAGGACTCTGACAGACAATTGTTTTCAACAATGACAAATATGTGGTCTAAACCGTTGCCTCCAATTACAATGATGATGAGATCACAAAAACCTTCTGGGAATATGACCCACTACCGCCACTTATGCATGAACGCGCCTCAACCATTAAGATCAAACTACAGTACAGGCGGGTTTGGGGGAGTTATACGAAATGATATAATGCAGTGGATGCTGCAAAAATGATGGGACAGAGGTACTTGCCCTTTGTGTTTTCATAGTAGCCAAACAATCTTGAGATCGGATTAAAGGAGCGATAGGTTATGAGGATGTGATACGGTTCCTCTGAAGTTGAGCTGACTGTTGTTTCTCAAAATCTGCTTTCAGATAAGTTTTTTGTCTATTCATTTTCTGGAACAAACTACAAGCACAATTGTTTGGTTGTTGTTCTTTGTTCTTTTTGTTTATTGTTGGGAAGCTATAGTAGCACAGGACACGATCACGATGATTTTGTAATTAAATTAAGGAGATTTTAATTCATAATTGTTGGTTCAGACCATAGTCAGCGAAGTTCTCATGTTCATGTGTACTGAAATAGTGAATACCTCCCCCCCAGTCGCCACTCTTACACTTGGCCTGACGGGCGACGGTGATTGAAGGAGGTTGGTTGGAGATTAACTTTGGAGCTGCATTTCTAACCAGTTCGAATTTCAGTATAACCCGTGAAGTTTAACGAGGTTGATTTGCGTGGCGTTGCGTTGCGTTGCGTTGCTTTGCTTCCGAGCTGATGCTATTTTTGCTTCCCCCGGGACGAGTTTGTTGTTTGATGCTACTTTTGGCCCTTGTTACTTGTTAGTATTGAGTGGTAGAGTTTGGTACACAGGACATGGCTCGATTTGACCTTTTTTTTGTATCCGATTTTTTCTTGACACTCCACAATTTATTGAAAACGTGTGCCTCAAAATTTTAATATTGAATGACTTATACGTCTTGGTATGAAATGACTTTAGGCGCTAAAAGTTTTTTTTGGAAAAATTTTATGGTGTGACTCATGTCTAATGCGAGATAACTTTACATTAAAAGCGCAAATAATTATGCACCTTAACAAATAAGACATGAAACCAAATGTTTAGAGACTTCACCAAGTATCTATTGAAACTGATTGTAGTGAAGATGAGTTTGTTTGTGCCAAGTCAAGTAACGAGGACTTGTAATTAAGTAGAACATTAAAGTGAAAGAAAAAAAAAAAAAAAGAGTTTGTAATTGTGTGTGTTTTTGGAATAGAAAATCCAAAGTTTTGGGCCGAAAGAAAAAGTAGGTGACGGTTCGAATTTCTGATCTTTAGTCCAGACGTGTGAAAGGGGTCCCTTGCGTCTCGAGAGCGTAGTCGTCCTCCATTTTTCCAGACTTTCAGACCAACTCAGTAGCCATATCGTCCCTCTCCCCCATTTACAGGTTTCGTTTTTCCTTCGTCTTCATCTTCCTTTTGTTCTAATTTAATTTAATTTAATTTGTAAGACGCTTCGAATTTCTGATCTAGGGATTTAAGAATTAAGGTGTTTTTCTATTCATGTCTAATCTAGGGATTTAGGGATTCAATTGAGCTATAATTTAGGGATTTAGGATTGAAAAATCCCATGAATCAATGTTGGTTGATTCTAAAATTGAGCGTAGGACTGATTGAACCTTGGTTGTCTTCTTAATATGATTTTTTTTAATTTTCTCTAAATTGATATACTTCTGAGTCTTTTTTTCTTCATTTTTCTGAGAATTTTAAGCTAGCTTCCTGTCATGTTCTTCATGGTATAAAACCAAAATCAGGTCTAAGGATTTTTAGAATTGGAATTATTAATCTCTTGTTAATCTGAAATACGAGTGCTTATGGAGATTGTATATTGATACGGATATAAAAATATTAGGTAGGGGGCTGGTTTGAAAGTGTTTTTTAATTGGCTGAAAGCGCTTTTATAACCCATCCTTAGTAAAATGGCAAGTGAATCCTGAACGGGCACTCTGTTTCTTCATGCAAGAAAAGCATAATAAGCACTTTAAGCTTTTGGAACCCAAAAACTTTTTCTTTAAAAACGCTTTCAGTCATTTAAAAAGCTGTTCCAGACAAGCCCGTTATTGTTTGTTGAAAGTGTTTTCTATTTCACAGGAATATGCCGATCCTCAACGGATATAAATATGATGTAATTGTTTGTTAAAAGTTTTTTCTTCTTCATAGGAAGATCCAGATCCTCATCGTCTTTTGAATTGTAGGTACCAGAAGCCACAAACATCACGACAATGGAATTGGCGGACAAGGCCGTTGGATTTCTGTTATCCTACATCAGTTTGTCAATATTCACTTATTACACATTTTGGGTGATTATCCTGGTCAGTTGTACTTCCTTCTCAAATCAAATGCTTTATTGCTTCCCACACTTAGTTAACCTGATGTTGTCTGTTTGTTGATATATTTACCGTCATTTGTGTTTCAGCCGTTTGTAAACAACGATCACTTCATCCACCGGTATTTCCTCCCACAAGAGTACGCCATACTAATACCTGTGTTTGCTGGCATGGTGCTTCTCTGCTTTTTATGCATTTTCATTGGATTTGTCATGTTAAAATCCAAAAAGAAGAAAGCTTGATGACAGTATTTCCCCCACTTTTAGTTTCTTTTCATTTCTTTGGAGCCGAATCCAAGTGTTTCTGAAATGATCAGATACTGATTACCTTGTTTTGTTTTTCTGCATCATTTCTAATTCACTTTTCTATCCCCTTTTATTGGTGATTTAAGTGCTCGTTTTACATTAAGACCTTGTTTGGTGTCTTGGATCGGAGTGGAATCGGTAATCCACAATGTTTCATGTATGTTGAAGAGGGAGGGGGGGGGGGGGTGGTAGTGATTTCGGAATGTTTCATAGATCATATTATTTCATGAAACTAGCTGTGAATGGGCAGTGATATCTCAATTGTTTCGGTGTTGAATGTTCCATTGCTGTTGGGCTAAGTTTGTGAAGTTTTCATCTTCTTAGCTTAGATCTGGAACAACAAAGAAGACATGTATGGCTGTTACAAGGAATATCGCTATCATACGAGTAGTAGTATACTCGACAATGGCTCCGTAAATGCCTGAATTTAGACAAGCAGTATAAGTTTCAACAAAAATAAGCATAACACATTAATACGCGGTATTAGGAGTGGGTTCAAAAAACCGAAAACCGAAAACCGAACCGAACCGAAACCGAAAAAACCCAACCGAACGAAAAAACCGAACTGAATCGAAAAAACTGAACCGAACCGAATTCTTTTGGTTTGGTTCGATTTTAGTGATCTAGAAACCAAATTGAACCGAACCGAATTAATTAAATTAATTTTTTTATTTAATTATTTGTTTTGGGTATTATTTTCTAAACCCAATTTGTAAGTTAAAATGTGCTAAACCCAATGTGTTGCCAAACTTTAAGCTCAAAATATTTTAAAAAGGCCTATAAAAACTCTAAACCATAATCTATTATTTCTCCCCCATATAAGGTTCCGGAACCAAATCTCATCCTGAAGTACCTACATCCATCTCCATAGCACTGTCTACTTCTGCCCCAACTTTCTTTTCCAAATCTACTCTCATATAACATGTAACACAATCCATAAATATTTATTTCGGGTAGATTACTTGGGTAATTTGTGATGGAAAAGAATCCAACACACACTAAATAAATCCACCAACGCATTACTTTTACTAATCAAGTTGTCAACATGCAGTTACAAGCAAACAACCCTGATCTTTGAACAACATCATACAATTTAACTTTTCTAAGTCATTTGTACGATTTTTGTGTTGTGAGGTTGTTAGTTTGGACTTTGGAAGACTTGATTAATGATTTTAGTTCAACTTTAAATGTTTATTTTCATTGTCTTTGATTATAGTTAGAATGCTTATGTTATGATTGTGTTGGAAATGTTAAAATTTAAAATTTCAATGTTTTTCATTTTTTGAAAAAAAAAAAAAACCAAAAACCGAAACCAAACCGAAACAGAACCGAACTGAAAAAAAACCGAAAAAAATGAACCGAACCGATTTAAACCGAACCCACCCCTACGCGGTATAGTTTAACTGAATGTTATACATGAGTAAAGGCCCAAAAAATATAAAATTGATCCATTACTTGTGATATTTTACGAAAGTTTTTAGATTGGCATGGTAGTTGTTTTATTACTATTGTATTGTTCATTCCTTTAAACATAAAATAAGTTATTTTCAATTTTAAGCAACAAAATGAATTCGTACTAAGTCAACAAAGCAAATATATACAAATTTATTTTAACTCATCAAACATCTGACAAATTTATTAGTCCTTTAATTATCAGTTTAAGAGAGAGAAAAAGGAGGTGGGACGGAAGTTGCAATAATACAATGGTTAAATGCTCGATCAGTCCTGACTTAAATGACATTTTTGTTGCAATAGTATTTATAAGTAAAAGTGTTGTTCACAAAAATATTATGGCACGGTCTTCCCAACGCTACAAGGGCCTAACAGTTGTTGTCACCAATCTTCCACCCTAGGAAAATATAGTTGTACACGTCGAATGTATACTTTATGCTAAAATGTTTTTTGCACTCAACCACGACTGACGAGTAATCCAAAATTCCAAATGCATCAACGTTGGAAATACGCAACCCGCCAAAAGCAAAATAACCACATTTGAAAACATGTTTAGTCCAGCTATAATGGTGGAAAGAACGAGTAATTTTTTATTTTCTTAGAGAATGAACCCTTGGATGTAGTTGGATTTTAAATGCAAAGAGTTCTACACTTATAAGGAAGAGCCAAAGCTGTGAGTTATTCGTAAATGAAAAACACATTATCCTTTAAAACTACTTGAGCAATGTATTGAACTGATGCGAGGTATCACATACAAGAGTTCCTAAATTTGGTCTTTATTTGAGACAATATAAGCAACGAACAAGTTGTTATAAATTGTTTAAATCTCAACGATCGCATAACTATTTGTAATTTTCCACAACTATTACTATTGTGCAGATTAATTGATTGACTAATTTATTGCAATAGAATTACGAAAATCGTAAATTGGACTTGCAAGTTGTGGTCCCGAATATCATTGCGTAAAAATAGATGACAATCTGGAAAAATAAAATGACTAGCCTTAGCTGTTTGGCAGTAAATAGACAAATGTATTCCTCGAGTATTAATATTCCTTTTATATCAAAACGAAAACTTGACATAAGAGATTAAATTTGTTAAGAAGCAACAAATCGTTGGAAGTAAAATGGAGCAAGTTATTGAGCACCCTTTCTATGGTAAACCTATTTAAGCACAAATATCATATCACACCTTAGTGTATTTAGTACAATACTCATGTGTCCCACAAGTCGAATGTAAAATTTACAAGCTACAGTTAAGTGCTTTAGGCGCAATAATTTTATGGTTTTTGAACTTTTAGTGCTTTGAGAACTTTGTTTATCTCTTCGTCGTTTTAGTTTCTATTAAGAAAACAACTCAAGGATTATAGATTTCTATGAGCTGTAAACGTTTAAGACAGCTGAGCACCACAACCCTAAGATGGTGAAAGGTCAGAAATTCAAATAACATATGATTTATTTTGAATGAAAAACTTAACGGAATTAGAGTGAAATGACAAATTAATAATTTTAGAAATTGGTAAATAGATCGCTTCAAATTTAGTTCATATGACAAATTAAAAAAATGTATAAGTTGACATTTCAAAAATTTCCCAATTAAAGATCATGCTTGCTCCCTCGCTACTCCTAACCTAATTACAAAATTATAATTAGGCAATAAGAACGTAAGAAGTTAAGCCGAGATCAATGGAGGCAACTCTCTCTGATCCACAACACCCCAAAAATCACATCACATTGCATGCAAACAATCAAACGAAATAATAAAACACGAAAACTGAAGAGACAAATTAACTATATACCTGAAATTAAAGAAAATCGATGGATGGATGAAGGATGATGATCACGTCTAAGAGTCTAAGACCAAGAATTATCGAAAGCGGCGGAAGTAATGGCGTGAGCAAACTCCTGGAAATTGATTCTTCCATCGCCATCCGTATCCGCCTCCTTGATCATCCCTGTCAACTCCTCCGCCGTAAGAGCGTGCCCCAGTTTCGCCATGGAGTGCGCCAGCTCAGCTGCCGTGATGAATCCATTGCCGTCCCTATCGAACATCCGAAACAACTGCCTCAGCTGGTCCTCCGTGTAAGGAGACTTGGCTGAGAGAAGCTCCGGCGCTACCAGCCCTACGAACTCGGAAAACTCCACGAGGCCATTGCTGTTTGTGTCTGCCTTCTGGATCAAGGCATCGAGCTGCTCCGGCCCCGGCTTCAACCCCAGTGAGCGGAGAAGCGACCCCAGCTCCAGCTGCGTTAGGCTTCCGTCGTTGTTTCGATCAAACGAGCGGAATATTTCCCGCAGGTCCGCGATTTGGTCGTCGTCCAGCTTCACTGGCTGCTTGTTGCTCATGACCAAATGCTCGGGTTCGAATCTCCCTCCCCCTTAGTTGAGATGAATTTAGTGTAGAATATCGCTCGTAAAAGAAAGAAGCCGGATCCAAATTTGATTGGTCAATAGCTCCTTGAATGTCGGACTTTTTCTCCTCCTTTTTGGGTGGAATCAATTGCTGATCTCGATTCAGAGCCTTTGACCCAAATATCGGATCCGGTTCCGATGTATGATCATCCACAACACACAGAGATGAGAATAATATGATCAAAATATAAAGAAATATATGAAGAAAGTCTTTTTGGGCTTGTAAAATGCGGTGAGAGAGGCGGAAATTACGTGACGAAAAGTGCGACTCGACACCCGCGCACGTCTGTCTTTTTGGACAAGTTGGGAATTGGGTTGGTGTGCTTTGAGATTGGGACTTGGGAGGAAGGGTTAACTGCCATCCTGACGTTTCACGTTTTTTGTCTATTAATATAAGGTCGTGTGGAATAAAATTTACATCAACATTGTATTATTAAATTGAAATATAACACAATAGCGATAAATATGTTTTATTTAAGTCATCATGTTTTGGGTTTCTCCTTCAAAATATGCTGCAATCGTTAATGAAAAATGATTTCCGCACTTTTTTTTTCTTCCTTCAATATATAATCATGTTTGTTTATAGGGAAATTTTATTCAAACTCATTCAACCTCTTTTTACACCAACTTAAAATTTTAAATGTTAATTGTCTATTTTACCCTATTGCATAATTACTATTAAGTACAAAATGAAATTAATAATAAAACTCAAATTCATCAATAAACTCAAATACTATAATTAAATCCTACGATCAAATTTATCTTCCCACTGTTACACTTGTGTACTTGAATTAATATTCCTCCTCTATAACTTTGCAAGAGCTCGGGGTTCATATGTGTTAACGGAACGGCTGCCAGAAGCATCCAAATGTGTCACATTGCAGGGATTAAAGGGGATTCATGCAAATTCTATGGCAGTTGACCTTGAAGAATCATCCGCAATGGATGTAGACAATGAGAATGGAATACCTAAGAAAAGGTATTTCTTTCCCTCACTAAAATACAAAATCCTATATTCATGTAAATGAAAAACATGTTGACTACAAGGTTAGAGCAGATGAAGGATGTTTATGGAGGGGAGAGATTGGGATACGGATTACTTTATTGTTGTCCTTCGTAATTGACTAGCTTTATTTTCGTGTAGTCTCCTTTGTTTTCCTAAATATCTTGTTTTTGTTATCATAAATTAATAAATTGTTTCGACATTGTGTGACATGCCATTCAAGTGTAATTAACTTGTCTTCTTAACTTTTGTAGTGAACTTAGTGGTGGGAGGACAAGTAATGATTATAATGTAGGTGAAAAAGAGCAATGGTGTCTTTCAACTTTAGGCTATCTCAAGGCATTCTCGAGGCAATATGCTTCCGAGGTAAAATACAGTGTCGCTTCTCTTGTTCTTTTTGCGACTTCCCTCTTTTGTTTGTTTTCCTTTTGACCCTCCCCCTCCCGTTTCTGGTATGATTTTTGTTTTCTTTGGATTTTTGGGTGAAGTTTTATAGACATGCTTAATATTCTTTACTACTAAATCTCTGACCTTGTATATTATGTACTGGCAGATTTGGCCTCACATGGAGAAGTTGGGTGTTGAGGTTCTAACCGAAGACGTGCATCCTCTTATTCGGAAATCAATTTATTGTGGTCTTCGTCAAGAAACTGATAGGTTGTGAAACTTCAAACTTATCACCCCCCGTTCCCCCTTTTCTTTTTTCCAAGCAAACAGCAACACATGTACGGTGATGAGGTAACCTTGAGCTTCTAAAAATCAAATGGGTGTAAAAATAAATCCACATATTGAATTGGGTTTATGGGGGTATATTAGGTATCAAATTTGGGTTTAAAGAGATATTAATAGTTTAGTTAAAAATCAAATAGGTGTAAAGAGTAAGTTGGGTGTAGAAATAGGTTAGATGGGTTTAAATAAAATTTCCCTTGTTTATATTCTTAATTCTAATTTGAATATTGAATTTAAAGGCACCAAAAATGAAGAGAGGGAGAATCACTTCGGTTTGGTTTTGGTTGGAGGTTGGTTTGGATAATTGGACTTGTAGGGGGCGTTTGTTACACCTCCTTAGGAGGGACTAGCTTGGACTGGACTCGCCTCGACTAGGAGGCGTTGTCTCCTTCGCTAAACCACGCTATCTAGTCATGTGCTTTACCTTGGTATTAAGGGGGACTAAAAATGAGACAAGGCAGAGATCCAGAGCCAAGCTCTCTTACTAAACCCCAACACCAATCCCTGGGCTTTGCCTTCTTCTTCTCTGGCGTCACCGTGGCCAGGCAATTGGCGGTGCTTGTTCTTCCTTTTTCCCACAAAATTCCGAGACGGCTAGCTTTAAGGACGGACAGAAAATTCCTAGAAAATCCATGAGCTTTGCCTTCTTCTTCTACCCATCTCTAAAGAACTCTTTTCTTTGTTTCAGATGAAGCTCAAAGCATCATTCTGTTTGATTGACACTTTGACCAAATGGCCGGAAAAAAAATTCAAGAAATACCCAATCAATGGAGTCAGTCAAATTATTGATAGAGATGATGGTTGTATAGATTACAGAGGTCAAAGGAAGAGATGGGAATGATTTGCAATCTACAGGAATGAAGGGTAGAAAATGAAGAGAATGGGGACGGAACCAAACGAGGAAGACAAGGAGGAGGGCATTTTTTGTTTATTAATTATTTTCAAGTCAGAAGTAGAATATGAGAGATGTTTCTAGAAAACGTTAGTTTTTTGGGGGAAAAAAATGAAAAACGTTGAATAAATAGTAAAATATTATTGGACAAGCATTAAATAATATAATATTGTATTTGTTAATTATCCTGTTTTTTAGTCCAACATTGTTCCAAACGCTTCACTAGTTCAATCCAGCTTAGTCTAGTCTAAGCCAGTCCAGCTTAATCCTTGAAAATAGTCCAATCCGAGATAATCCGGTGCAACAAACGCACCCGTAGGGTACAGGTTGAGTCTTAGTTGCAGGGATTGTTATATTTTAATATGATATTGTGAGTGGGTGGAGGGAGGGAGGGAGGGAGGGAGAGGACATAGAGAATGTTATCATAGACTTATAGACGGCTTCATGTCTCGTTTAATAATCATTTCGTTTTTAAGTTTTAATTTTTAAATGTTATGCTTAAGATATAAGAAAAGTATACAAAAGAAGGACGAGCAACTAAGGGCCGTGAGAGGAAGAGGAGAAATATTTGAAACAAAACCTTGAAAATTGAAAACAAATTCAATTCGTTTTTATTTTAATTTATCATTTTACGTGTCTTTTCTGCTATATTTGCTCTAGGGAACTTTAAAAAAAAGCTCTTGATACTGTTCACTTTAACAAAAAACCATATTTTTACACTAAAAAGTCAATCATGATACCATTCACTTTACTCTTTATTTTGTCATTAACGTTAAAACTCAAAGTTTTCAAGTTCTTTTCATTAGTTTTTCTTTTGTTTCTACATATGCCACCATCATTCCTCCACTCTTCCATTTCCCTCGTCTCTCCAGTGCGTTTCTCCTCTTTAACTTACACGATAAATACAAGATATAAAATAGTTATCAAACGGCCCCCAAAAATAGATTCGTATAAAAAAATGACAACAATGTTGAAGAAATGTATCTAACTGATGCATAGCAATTCAACCAACCCTATTCCTTAATCTGCATTTAATCATTGGCTTCTCAGCAATGCAGACTGGAAGCGGAAGCTACAAAATAGGGATACATTTTCATATCTGAAAAATATTCAAGCACACAATATAAATATACCACCATTTTCCTTATACGAATTTGACCATATGTATATGACCTCATATCCATGAGTCATGACACAACCAAACTGAATGTACCACGTTACTGATATAAAAGCGGGCTCCCTTCTCTAGCAAGCACAAAAAGACCACCATCCCCCCTTGAGATCCGAAGATCCTCATCAAGGTATGTAATAAGAAGCCAAGACTTGGTCCGTTCACCTGGAACGGGAACCTTAAGCGGTGGCTGACCAGAAATGGTCCTAGAGATACCTGCAACAGCATCCTGCAAAGGATTGAGAGTTTGCTGGACGGGTGATAAATTGATTTTCTGCCCAAAGATTTCCACTTCTTGAGGGAGATCAACGCTTGACTTAATCTCCGGAGGCTGAAAGCTGCCTTCCTTGAATTCCACCTAAATATGTAAAGAAGTAAACTAGTAAGGTTCTGGTGCACATCTACCCATGTAAAAACTTCATGTTATTCAGTCTGATTCGAGTGCAAGTGATACCTGGATTCTTGACGGACTTCTAACTTCAAAGCTAGCAGATGCACTGAACGAGAAACTAGCAAAAGGGCTAGACAGCGTGGTGGAGTTCAAAATAGTCAGGCTGCTGCTGTTGATCGCTTGGGTTATTTTATTTACCTTCAACAACGGTGTGCCACCTGCTGCGAGTAGTGGCAACAGCTCAGATGATGCAGTGTACCTGATTTAAAGAGATGAAAACAAATAAACAAGATCAAGGAAAGAGAAAGCCTCTGGTGTATACTAAAATACTTGCTCTATAACTAGAGGGGTAAAAGAGAAACAGAAACCATTAAACATTTCACAAGGACAATCGTCAACTTGTTTCAAGACATCCAGGTCAAAAGCAACCAGAAAAAGAAACGTTTCCGTCAACGGTAGCATATCGTCTGAGATACATGTGGTCGTTACCACACGTGTTACGCTTTGCAAGGCTGCTAAAGCCAACCATAACAACAAAAATAGAAGTTCAAAGGGTAGTTACGAAATCCTGAAGATGCAACTTCAATTATTATTTACAAGAACAGAAGGATAAAGCCCATGCATGGCTACACAACACCTAACATAATACAAAAGAAATTAATCACAGAATTGAACACAAATGTCATATATATGTCTCTCACATGATAAACGTTAAACTGGAATTCCTTTTGCAAACTATAAAAGGGACCCTTCAGATGTTGCATCATCTCATCATTTTCAAATGCTCAATTAGTGGAAGAGATTGGCAAAAATCAAAAACCTTCTTCAAGAGAAAATTACTTAAACCCAGAGCCTCACAGGAGCAATGACAATTATTTATAAAAAGAACTTTGGAGCATGATCATGCCACTTTTTCCAAAATGCACATTTCATCTCACGTTTAAAGAATTATGCTATTGCGTTAAACATAGAATATTTTTGGTCACCACCACCACATTGATTTCTGTTAGATGAGGGTGATTTAATAGGTCAATATCTACTACACAAGTCTCGAAATTTAAACATATCTAACGGACATTAATACCATCAAGGCACTAACCCCTAGGAGTGGTAAGCAAAACTACACTATGTCATTGGAAATGCTTTTCTTTGTTAAACATATTTCACTAATCTTTTTAAAACGACTTCGAATTTGTATAGCAGAACTCTAGATGAGTCAAATGGAAATTTTGCCCATTTCATCTCATTTCTAGATGATTATGTTATTAAGTTCAAAAATGTCATGTGAAAATTAAAATCCGTCTGTCTCTGTTATTTTAGTTTTGTGCGTGGACTCATCGTATAACACTGGCTAAGCAAAATAAATAAATAAATACAGACACAAATTGAACTTACAGCAAAACCCAGTTGCCATCAAGAAGGCCCGGATTCTCCGTCGGAGCCGGGTTGGGATTCGCCGCCTCCAACTGGCTAACGAACTCTAAAGCCTCCGCTCTCACCTCGGACCCGGCCCGGAACCCGAATTCAGTCCCATAAACCGTGTCCACCAAACCCCTCTTGAGCTCACTGAGCTTACCATCCACCTTCTCCTCGATGGCAACCTCAGTTTTGGCCGCACTTCCATTCCCAACTTCTACAACCCCATCTCCTCCGCCTCCCCATTCGTCCTCGTTCTGCGGAGGGTCCGATTCGGAGAGTTTGGACCGGGGCTCCGGCTCCGTGTCGGCCTTCTCGCCCCACTCGTCAGTAATCTTCGTGGGGCGGTCGCCATCGGTGGGGGTGTCGCCGGAGGGAGAGGCGCGTAGGCGGAGGGAGGGGAGTTTGGGATTAGGGTTTGGGGAGAGGAGAGAGAAAGATTGGAACTTTGGGGTTGGAAATGAGGATGGGGAATTGAGGAGGTTTTTGGAGAGGAGAGGGGAGGAGGAGTGTGAGGTGAAGATGAGATTCAGAGCCATTTCTTTTCCCTTTCTTTTTCTTTCCAGTGTTTTCGTGTTTTGTGTTTCATCTGCTATTTAGAGGTTACAAATTTACAAAGAAATGTTGTTGGATTGTATCCACTACTCTTTTTTTTTTCTTTCTTTTTTTCAACGTTTGAGATTATCTACATTAAAAGTTTTAGTTCATTTGAAGCAAGTAACTTGTAGTTCAATTAATTAAGGGCCTTAGTTCTTATACACAATGCCTTATCTTTGAATCTTCTTTCGTGGTTTAAGTGAACTAGTGTATATTATTCTATCGTTTATATAAAAGCAACATCGGTACCTGCTTTGTTAGACATTCATCTATCTTTCCATATTGGCCTCCAAGAAAGTGGCATTAGGGTAAGATCAAGATTGAATTCTAACAAGTCTTTAAATCTTCCTATGTAAGTGAAGCTTCTCACGAATTTTGTGTCATTACACTATTACAATTTTGGCTAGAGAACGCCTTTTCACCTTTTTCATTGGTGTTTTATTACAAAAAATGGGCACTGACATTGATAGCAAACCTCAATTACCACCATGCAGCTACTAAATATGAGTACATGTTCTTTATGTAGAAGTCTCTAGTAACAATAGCTACCATTAATAACCATTTGTCCTAATCAAGGTATAAAATATCGATGATATCGGAAATATCGGTAGTCCAAAAACACGGAAATATCGGGATATTATCGATATCGATAAAAATTGAATAAAAACCACGAAAATTGTAAGAAAAACTTGGAAATTTTTATTGAAACTTTGCATGATGTTTATTTAGTTAATTATCTATTAGTTTATCACAAAAAATTGGAAGGAAATGCATTGCATGATGGATTTAACTGATTTAAGTTGATTATATAGTGAGCTGACAAACATTGTGAGTGTAGAAAATATGTAGTAATTAATGAAAGAAGTTTAAACACACCATAATCATTTATATATAATGAATTATTACAATATAAGAAAGACATGAAAAATATGTTTTTTTTTTACAAAAAAATAGTATATGTGGCGTTAGAGTTTCAAGTATACAGCATGATCTGATCTTCAAAGAGACTTTCAAGGTAAAGATGGATTTCCCAAATAAAACTATTTAATTTAAAAAAATAAAATAATCAATATAAGATATTTTGAATGAAATTAGTGTTTAACATTTTCTTTAAACCACATGGTGACCCCTCCACCTCACCTCCCTCACATAACCCAAGGTCCCAAATTGAGACTCCCAATCCTGTATCTGACATTTTCTTTTTTCGTATCCCATAAGTCTCTCTCTCTCTCACTTCCTATCAGCCCATAAAAAAATCTTGCCTTGAGAGAAGTTCCTTGAAACACAAAATCCCAGAAATCTCTCTCTCTCTCTCTCTCTCTCTCTCTCTCTCTCTCTCTCTCTCTCTCTCTCTCTCTCTCTCTCTTTTCCAGAAACCTCTAGCCAAGCAATCTCCTCACTCCTCAGCGAAATTTCCTAAACACACACTCTCTCTCTAGGGTTTTAGGCATTTTTTTGCCCCTCTCTCTCTCTTCTTCTTTGAAATCTTAGGTAAGAAATCGAACATTTTATCTTCTGGGTTTCATTTATTATATGGTGTTCTTTGTTTTTCCTCTTCAATTCAACTAACTATCTCTTTGCAACTCTCATTTCCGGAGCACAAACACACCACACCCACACCCCACCGTGACCTCCACCACAGGGGCGCACACTCTGGCGAGCATTATCACCACCTGTGGACCGTTCATCATCCCTTTCTCACCTCCCGGCAAGCACCCTCAGGCAATGGGAGGCCTTGTTTAGGCAGTACGAAGCGGAGGATCCATCAAACCCGAGCATGTTTTGGGATCCGGAGAAAATGGATTTTTCATTTCCGACGACGAAGGCGCAGATCTTGGGTCTGAGCCTGGATTGCAGAGAGAGATTTGGGCAGCTGTGACGACGCAGCCTCGGCTGCCTTTTCGACGACGAAGCCACGACGATTGTTTCGATAATATTGCGATATTTTGACGATAATTAGGAGGATATGTGGGAAAATATCGATCTCTCTGAAAAATGATAATATCGGCGATATTTCGTCGATATTATCGATATTTTAGTCATTGGTCCTAATGCAAGACTAAATTAATGACATGTGAAATTCACATGCTAATGAAATGAAATTTATCTTTTCAATAACCAAGACTTGACCTTGCAATAGACTTGATAGTAGGGCTTGTCTAGAGAATTTTGAGGTCCAGCGGGAAGTCAAAAAATGTGCCCTAAATTCATATAAGAAAATTATTTATTTTCACACGTAAGACATTGATAAAATTATACTTAGAAAAACAGTTCAAACTCAATAATTTAGAAACACAGAAAGGCTAATTTATTTTGTATCCAGAGAAGGAAACCAAAAAACTCCAGGCTTACATGTAGATAGACGATGATTTTTGTTTCCCATTTGAACTTTTAAAGTGTTTTAGTATAAATCGTGATGTGTTTTTTCTTATTTACTAACCTTGTCAATATGAGACTAAAAAATAATGATGTTTTCAAGTCTTTAATTAATATGTATAAGTAATGAATTGACACTAAATTAAACCTTTTGATGACACGTCATATGATTTGTAAATTTGTTCCAAAAATTTGGTCTACATATTACTCTTTGTAGAATATTAGACTTGAATTCAAACAAATATTTAAAAATAGCAACCCACTAGGTTACTAGCTAGTAACTAAAAATAAATTAATAACCAAACAAATATTCGTAAAAATTGAAAAGAATAAACAAGCATATAGCATTTCGAACTTAGGAAATCTCGTTAATTTTAAACAACAAAAACCATTGCTTCTAGTTAAACTTCTTGATCATTTAACCAAATTTTATAAATTTTTACTCTTATGAAAATAAATTTGTAAAAATTAAAAGTAAATAAGCACATGTGGTGTTTTGAATCCAAGACCTCTTTATTATTTTGACAAAACCAACACTTCTAGTTAAATTTCTTTGTTATCAAACCAAATTTTATAAATTTATACTCTTATGAAAACATATATAAATACACCATCTTAATAATTTTGATGCCCCGAATTTTTTGAATCCCGGATGGTCGCCCTGCCACCATTGGGCCTGGGCCTGGGCCCGCCCTGCTTGATAGCTCGAGGCGTAAAAGATCTTCAAAGATCTTCGGCCTATATTATACAAATGTAAGTTTGTGTGTGCGCGCGCATGATATGAGGATTGAGCCAACTATATCTAAACCTACCGTATTTGGCTGCCAAAACTGAAGAGCAACCAACTGCTATTGATCGGTTTGAGGTTGTGCGTGAAAACACAAGAGATTGCTGGGATGAAGATGCAAAAGTATAATGGGTAAGTTAGTTATTTACGTTGTCTCCTCTATAAGATATAGTTTTTTACTGAAAATTATTATATTTTTTTCCCAGAGATCTCTCACTCTCGCCTTGCATAACGAATTTGAAACTGTCAAACATGGTATATATGCACACATTCCCCTTCCATTGAGGTATCCTTCAAATAATTTTATTTGAGGGACATTTTTGTTGAGAGTTGTCCCACATCTGTGAGGGATAAGGTTTATTATGTACTTATATGGTTTTAGGCTACTTCTCATATTGCCAATTGGTTTTATGGTGGAACCTCAATTTAATCATTGTATCAGAGCGGGTTGTCCTCTTGTGAATCCAAAAAACGGTCACACGCGCTCCATGTCACCCAGTTCTTGTCCACGTGTAGGCTTGAAAATCCACCACGTGCGGGGGCGTGTTGAGAGTTGTCCCACATCGGTGAGGAACAAGGTTTGCTATATGCTTATATGATATTGGGCTACTCCCCAAATTACCAATTGATTTTATGGTGGAACCTCAATTTCATCAACTTTGTGGTGCTCATTCCGTAACTTTTTCATCGGTGCAAACAGCGTGTTTATATTTGTTTGGATGTGATGTATGTGTGTATGTATGTATACATGTATATATGAATGTGTTGTGATGTGTGCGACTGTATGTTTGTCATCTGTTTGCCAAAATGTCCCGCTAGCATGTTTCAAAATTGAAGTAGGCTTTGAATGTTTGATTAATTTTCTCACTTGCAGATGGAAAAAAGGAAGCTCCCAACCGCTCTGTAACTGCTCAAGAGGTACTAAGATAAACTTCAAATGCTAGTAAATGCAGGTACCCGGGAGGAAAGAGTTGCCGCACAAGCAGATGTTCATGCCTGCCAGCAAAGCCTCTTCGAGCTCGATGACTTCAAGATGTTTTGTTGCCTCCCGGCACTTTCCTACCAAGGGAAGCTACTCATGGTGGATTATGCGACAGATCATTACGTGAAGGGAGAGATATTCAGGGTTGCTAAATGGGGAGGGCTGCAAGGGCCGTCAGAGCTGCCGCCCACTGGACTGCGTAATTAGTTTGCTTTGGTTTGATGTCATTGGTTTGCTTCCAAATAACATTTCTCTCTTAATTTCTTCATTCTTATACACATGTATGTTTATAAATGTTTGAGCATGTATGTATCATGTATGCATATGCATGTATATACGCAAGCATTTATGTATGAATTGGCTTGGAATTCCTTTATCTAGTTGATATACTTTTTGGCTTCACATTTTATTTTGGCTTGGTTGAATTTGAAAGCATTGTATTGTGCTTCAGTGTTATATTTCACTTGTAAAATTTCTAGGTTTCTTGAGGCATACTGTTTAGATTAGTATTACTAGTGTTACAGTTTGGCGTTTACTTCAGTTCAGAACGTTGGCCTCCGTATAGATTTGATAGAGATGAAGAAGGATAAGAAAGAAGATCACCTACGTGCATGATAGATATGAACCATATGGTAGATAAGAATTAGACCATCTCCTTTGGAGAAGAAGAATGCTACTTTGGATACTCCAACGATGGCTACTTCCTTTTAAGGAGAAATTAGGTTTTCATCATTCATTTTGTTACTCCATTGATTAAAATGCTATTCATTTTCAATTTTTGATCAAGGTCCTTGGGTATTAATAAAATCATTAATTATTTCAATAATAAAATATTTTTTTATTTCTAAATATATTCATTTAATGTTAAAAATGTTACAATTAGTATATTTATATTTATGACTAAATTTTTTATCATATATTTTTAGTTTTAGTTTGTACCCATTTTTAATTTGTAATTCTTTTTTAACTTGTACCAATTTTCTTTTCAGTTTTAATTTGTACCCATATATTAATTTCTTTTTGTGCCCATATTTTTTTAAAGTTTATTTGTATTTGTACCCATATATTTTTTTTATTTGTACTTTTTATTTTGCTAAATGTACCCATGCTAATTATATGTACCCATTCATGTAAAACTTTTTAATCTTAAAATGTACTCATTAATCTATTCAATTTTTTTTCTAATCCATTTTTAAACTTATATGGGTACATTCTTTTTTCTTTGATTTTAAAATGTATCCATGTCAAGTTTAATCGAAGAAATTTACTAAAGTTGTTAAGCCTAATATCTTCTTTTTTTTTTGTGATTTTTGAAGAATGTACCCATGTTTTTGTCACATCCCGGCCCGGGTCCATCACATTCTGGGCATGTTCCACCACCGTAGCACGATATTGTCCATTTTGGGCTTACCATTCCCTCACGGTTTTGTTTTTGGGAACTCACGAGCAACTTTCCAATGGGTCACCCATCCTGGGAGTACTCTGACATCTTTCTCGCTTAACTTCGGAGTTCATACAGAACCCGAAGCCAGTGAGCTCCCAAAAGGCCTCGTGCTAGCTAGGGATGAGAATATACATTTAAGGATCACTTCCTTGGGCGATGTGGGATGTTACAATCCACTCCCCTTAGACCAACTCCAAACTTGGGCTAAAAGCCAAATTTAGCCCAAAATTTTCCCCCAAACACCACCCAACCCAAGCTAAAATATTGGGCTAAAAAGGGAATGCTAAAATTAGGCTAAATTCCCCCCCCCCCCCCCAAAATTCCCCCTATCCGCGTGGACTCGCCACAATTTGGGCCACTCTCGGCCCGCCCACTCGCAGACGCGCCCCACAGGCCTGGTTTGCATTTGCTTCCGATAGCGCAGGGTCCCACCGCCAGGGCCCTGTCGGCCACTACCCCCGAGCCTAACGGCTCTTTTCCCCATCCGACGACCATCATTTAAGGACCGTTGGTTGATCCAACGGTCCAAACTCAAATTTCATTTTAAAAAAATATGTTATTTTAAAATACATTAAATCCAACGGCTGAAATCGAATGTAATCAAATCTAACGGTAAAAAAAAGGATCTAACGGCCCAAATTTAAATCCAACAGCTAAAATAATTAAAAAAAATTATTTAACTCAAAATTCACCAAAAAACTATATAAATACCTATGTATTTGTTCAAACATCCACACAAAACTCAATTTTCTCCTACAATTCTTCCAATTTATCTTTCTACCATTTCTTTCCATTTCCAAATTATTCAACATGGCAAGAGAGCATGTTAGAGGTCGTAATTGGACCTGTGAGGAAGATGTTTCTTTATGCTTGACATGAGTTTCTGTTAGCGAAGATGGTGCAGTTGGCACAAATCAAAATAAAAAGGTTTTGGTGGGATAAAATCATTGCAAAGTTTCAAGAAAACTACAACGGCGGCGAGCGGGACGGTGGTGCTGTTTATGATCGGTGGAAGACTATCAACAAAGCATGCACTTTATGGAAGGGAAGCTTGGAGAGAGCCATGGTTGGCATGCCTAGTGGAATGAGCACCATGGAAATTGTGAGTTTTTTTCTTGATATTTTATTTGTCATGTACATAATATTATTTTGCAACTAATTATTTTTATGTATTTTTTGCATAGGGTGACAAAGCAATGGAAATTTACAAGACAAGAGTAACACCAAAAAATCAAGTTTTTAAGTTGCAACATGCTTGAGACGTCCTCAAGGATTGTCCGAGGTGGGCAACCGATGCAGACCAACAATGGGGAAGATTATTTCAACGTGAAGCCGCACCGAGAAATGAACGTGTCGATGAAATGACCCCATCTCCTTCTTTATCAAGGCCCCCGGGAAAAGATAAGGAAAAGGAAGCAAAAAGAAAAGGGAAGGCCCAAGATTCGACGAGTGGAGACTTTGCTACCAGAATTACAAAATTGCACGAAACTCATAGCGTTCGCCAAGAAGAAGCGGCCCGAATGCGTTTG